CCTCCACCCACCCGGTGCCGACTGCGTCCCTCTGTGGAGACGAGTTCCTCAGGAGGTGCTGCTGGGTGGACTGGGAATCACTGCTGGGAGAGCAGAGCGTTCCTGTTGGCCTTCATCTTCTCCAGGCGCTTGGACAGGTGGCTGTTACTGACCTCCAGCTCCTCGATGCGGTCCAGAGCCGAGCGCAGCTGAAAGGAAGGTCACTGTAAGGTCAGCAGGACAGGTGGACGCAGAAAACAAAGCCTAGATCCAAACGGTCTGGAATCCCATCTAGCTGCTGCTGCTTTGGGAGCCAGCAGGGGGCGCTCACCTCTCTCTGCAGTCGTCTCTTCTCCACCTTCAGCTCATCTTCGATCCTCTCTGCGTTCTCAGACGCCGACTTGTAACGACACACCTGGCCCTCTAGGCGGAGCACCTGAGCAGGGAGACACAGGTTTCCATTGAACAGGTGAAACGGTCAGAGGGGAAGAACAGGGGGCGGGGCTTACGTTTTGCTCCAGAGTCGTGACTTCCTGTTCGGATTTGACCAGCTTGAACTTGAGCTCACTGATCTGCCGGCTGTGGTCTCCTGGTGAGAGTGAGACATCAGGAGATCAGGATCCACGGTGGAGCCGATGGACGTCAGATCTAACCAGTGACCTACTCTGCAGCTCTAACAGATGAGGATCTATGCCGCTCTCGTTCCCCCCGGGGTTCTGGACTCCATCCGCGCTGCTCCGCTGATCCAGCTGAGACTTCAGCAGCCGGACCTGAACACAAACACATTCAAAGGGTTTTTATAGAACATCTGGCAGATTTTTATAAGAAATATGATTCCAGATCTGACCTGATCCCTTAAACCTTCTCTGTCCTCAAACAGCTTCTTCATCCGCAGCTCTGAAACAGAAAGTCAGAGGAAGTGATGAGCTCTGCGGCGCCGCACGGCGTGGTGCGGTCACCGTACGGCTCCGTAGAGACAAGCTAGACGCTAAAACTCTTCTGACTTCAAGGTCAATCATCTCATGGTTCCTCTAAACATTTTTCTCATCAACCTGAACGTATCCACTGCCGTTCAGCTCCTTCATGACCTCAAGCTCTGCACCATTTCTGAGCTCCATGCTGGACTCCAGCAATCAGCTGGTTTTCCTTAGATGGAAACTGAACCAATCAGGACGATGTGGTCGGATGGTGCACTGAGGCGAGAGGACAGGTGAAATAAAGCGGATTCTGTGGTAGGACCTGTGATCAGCTGGAGCTTCAGCTCCTGGTGGACACGGTAATTATCTTAATCAACTCCATGAACTCCTGTATCTCTGGGGTTAACTCTGGATCAGAAAACTGTGTCCAAGATGTCTGATGCTGTAAGGATGTGGAAACAGTTTACTTACCCTTCAGGTGCAGAACATCCTCTGCTGATGAAACGTTGTTAGAACAGAACCACCAGAACACCGAGCTTCAGCTAAAGCTTTATTTCTGCATGTTTTCATATATTCAGTAACATCCAGATCAGTCGTTCTCAATCATTTCACATCTAAGATGTCTTCTATGGAGCGCCGCTCCTCATTCTGGGCCGTTTCTGTCCAGAACAGGGACAGTTCCTGAGGACCGGCAGCAGGTGGCGCCTCTGAGCTCATGAAATCTTGCAGTCTGAGTTCTCATTTCTCCTGCTGTCCAAACTGGCTCCATCATGACCCCTCTCTGGTTCCACGCTGCCCCCACCTGGAACACTTTGGTCGTCCATCTTGGGCCTTTGCTGGGACAGAGGCTGTTGGACCTCCTCTTCCTCCTCGTCAGCCTCCTCACAGCTGTCCATGTCTGCAGCCGCCGTCTCCTCTACAGAAGCGGCGCCGGACTGCTCCAGTGGCCTTCCCTCTTGGAGACCCAGCAGAGCGAGTTCAGGAACAGCCAAGGCTCGGATTTCCTCCGCCGTCACCTCCATGAATCTCCTGACTGATGAACTCTGACCTGCGTTAGGCTGAGCCCAGGCTGCACGGTTCCCTCTCAGCTCCGTAGGAAGCTGGACGTGCGCCGGACTGTTGGACCTCCGTCCTAAACTGACATCAGACACGGACTCTGCTGAGTTTTTGCGCGGCTCAGCAAAGTAGGAGTCTACAAAGACAAAGTCTGCAGAGGTGTTTTTTACAGGAGAACCACTCAGATTGAAGCAATACTCAGCGTTCATCTGCAGCTTTGTTTGTCTGAAACTGGTCTCTGCTGCCTCATCGGCGGTGATGTCATCCTTCCAAGGTGAAGGAACTCCACCTGAGGAAGCAGATTGGTCCTCTGAACCGGCCGCCGGTCCAGCCTGATGTCTCTCCACACATCCGGGACCAACTGGGGGGTGTTTGGCTGGGCTCCTTGGATTAGGACCTGATTTGGCGGAGAGTCCGGCGTCCATCTTTGGACACGTAGATTTATCTCCATCTGCAACAGTCCGATCGGCCGTCTCTCCTGAGCTCGTCCTTAGAGTGTTTTCCAGGTCTGAGATCCACTGGTGGAGACAAATCAGAATTTCTGATAAGATTCTTGAGATCTCAAACACAAACCCTGGTTTGTCCTCCAGTCCTTGGAGCAAATCTTGAACCGCCATCTCCAAACTAGACCACATTTCTTCTGGAACAAAGGCAGTTGTTCTCTTTAGGCTTTGGGGGAAAGCTTTGTGCATCGCAGCAGCTCTGTGGAGAGGTTCTCCAGTCCTCTGGCTGGTAGGAGAATACTCCACAGGTGCTTTGGATTCAGACTTGACGACGGACTCTTCTTCAACACCTACCGACTCAGGGTTGGATTGTCTGTTTTCTCCTGCTGCTTCAGATCTGCCTCCTTCTTCACCTAAACCTGGGACTCCACCTTCACCAGTCACGTCTTCATCTAGACTCTGGGAAGTCCCGCCCTTTGGTTCAGTGCTTGTTTCAGAGGAAGACGCTTCGTTTTCCAGAGCCAAGGAGACGTCAAGGTTTATCGTCTCGTCTGACGAAGACTTCCGTTTTCCAGAAGCTGAGAGACCTGAAACCATTGCTCGGTTATCCATGATCATCTCCTTGGCAGGACGAGGCGGAACGAGTCTAGATCTGAAGTCCTTTTCTCCAGAAACCTTTTGAATAGCGAAGGCCTTTCTGGAAGATTCCCCCTTTTTTCTGAAATCTCCAACAGAATGAGCCGTGCTCTGATCTTTGAAGGCCTGATCTACAGACCCGTCCATGTCTGGCTGTTTGTTGTCTGCTTGGTTTGGGTCTAGTCTAGAGGGAAGCCTCTTGGTCGGATCCTTTTCCACCCCCTTGTTCCGCTGCGGTCGGTTTCTGCCTGGTGGCTTATCAACCGGGTTCCGTCTTTCTCTGGACACCCTGCTTTGGTCGCTCGTAGAGTTCATGTCCAGACTCTGCTGCCGCTTGGCGTCTTTCCGGTCTCTTTGGGGTTTGCTGTCCTCTGCTGGTTGTTGCTCTGAAGCTTTTCCTGAAAGACCATGAAGACACGTTGGAAGAGCGGCTGGAGCAGACATTCAGGATGGAAGATAGACACCAGAGGAGGTTATTCAGGTTGATGAGGAAAGAAGAATCATAGAGGAATTACAGGAGGACAGTTCCTCTGATCTTCTAAAGCCCAGAAATGAAGATGTTGATTTAGAACCAGACAGAACCAATCAGCTAAAGACAGGAACCTCACGTATCTCAGTAGATCAAATGTTTGAAATGTTTAGTAAAGTCAAATAGTTTTGGTGTAACGGTTCCTACCCAGCACGCTCTCTCTGCCACTGTGAGGCGGGTCCTCGGCTAGGGGGGAGGCGGAGTCATCGTCGGCCAGCTCCACGTCGCCGTTCGACGTGTCGGGAGAGAAAACCACTCCATGGTTCTGTTAGTCAGAGAGTCAGAGATCATCCATGGATCCATAACGGAGATAAACATCTGCTCGGACACATCCTGACCAGAACTGGTTGGTCCTCTATCAGGACCAAATCGCTACAACATGAGGAAAAAACTGCAGAGCTCACCAGACACTAAACCCATTCTGAGCAGGTAACCCCTCTAACTCTGGATTAACGCCTAACACAGACACCCCAAGTCACAGAAACCCCTCAGACTGTCCCTCCTGTGGGGAAGGACCTTTGGTTTGGGTTCAGATTGAACCAATGCACCTGAAAGAGGCCGTGCCACAGGAGCACCTGAGGAACTTCCTCTCTGAGGGACAATCTGCAGGTCTCTCTACGTCTGCTAACCACAGCGGCGTCCAAATACCTTCAGCGAGTCTCGCAGCCGGACCACCTCATCTCTGAGCCGGTCGCGTTCAATTCGAACGATGTCGGAGGTTTCTCGGTGGCGCTCTAAGGCCTGGCGTAAGGAGGAGTTAAGGTAGGAGGTTAGAGAGGAAGAAAGGAAAGGAAACAGGAAGGAGAAAAGCTGGAAACGTTTCACAGAGGCAGAAAACAAGCTGGGTTCTGGTCCTGTTCAGCAAAAGCTGACCAGGATACATCTGAGACTGCGGCCATTTGTCAGACAGAGCATCACTGAATGCATCTGAAATATTTGGGCCATAACCAGTGAACCGCTTCCAGCTCCTCTGCCTCTGGAAACCACAGAATCTCTGGAAGCAGGAGGCGTCCTACCGCTATCTTCTTCTCCTTCCACTGCAGAGCTTCCTGAAGGTCAGAGACCTCCTGGCAGTAGCTGCTGCTCTTTAGACGCAGATCAGAGACCTCCTGCCCAGCAGGGGGTGGCAGAGAGCAGCAGAGAGAGAGAAGAGGAAAATCAGGTCTGCTATCCTTTCACTGGGTCAGGGTTAGAACTCTATCCAGGGTTAGAAAGGAGCTAAAGGTCTGCTTTGCTAGTCCTCCTCAAATTAGGACTACAGGCTTCAGGGAAAGAACTACAAAACCCAAAGTCTCTAAATAAATACCACCTCTGATGATCTCGAAAAATATGAAGGTGTGAACATTATCATGCGTCTCACAGAGAACAAGTAAGAACTTAGATGTTGTCATTAAACTCCGTGAAATGGGTGGTGTCTATCAGTCCACTCATGCAAAGGATTGTGGGTAGTGACCATCAAGGGAACCTCAGTACTTCCCTCTGTTAAATGAATGTGTGCTAGCAAGCATCAGGGTCCTAGCTCCTTCCTCACAGCCAGGATTATCCGGACAGTAGGCTGACCACAGAATTCTAGCATGAAGCCAGGGGAAGGTCAAGCTGCTTCCCAACATTCCTGACCTTTGAACTTTGAACCCAGCTGATAATCGGTGCTATAGAAATTAAACTGAACTAAACTGAATGTGTCAGAGCACGTCAGCAGAAATGGTCTCCATGAAGAGGACGCTAGATGCTTCCTATCATGGTTCCTTTAGCATAGGGACCTCCTGACGTGTCTAGGCGTGGCGTTTCTATACGGTTTCCCATAATCCCTTGCTAACAGGGTGTATAGGCAGAGGTCTCCTAACCGTCAGCGTCTCGTTGGTCTGTCTTAGCCTGTCCTCCATCTCCTTGAACTGGCCCTTCAGGACGCTGTTAGCCTGACGCTCGCGCTCCAACTCCTGGAGAGACATCAAAGCAAGCTCCATCATCATCATCATCATCATCATCATCATCTTCTTCTTCATCTTTTTCATCGTTAGTGACCCTGTGACCTTGCTGGACTCCTCCCAGCGGCGCCGGGCCTCCCACAGCAGCTCCTCCATGTCGCTGAGCTCCTCTCTCAGGTTCTCCACCTGGAACATCAGAGTGGTTTTGTCGTTGTGAAGCTGAGCGTTGGAGATCATGGCTCTGCGGTACTTCTCCTCCGCCTCCAACAGAGAGTCCTGCAGGACGCAGACATGGTGGAAACCATCAGCATCCACAATCTGTCCTGGTCAGTTCTAATGGGACAGAACTGGACCTGCCCTGCCCAGTGCCAGGTCTGCTGGTTGGGTTACCTTCATTTCTCTGATTGAGGCCTCTGTTTCCACGGAGAACGACGTGTCACAGCTTCCTCTACGCGATGAGGCTCCGCCCAGCGAAGCCAGCGTGGCGGCGGACAAAGTTGACGCCGTCCTGGAGCCCTGATGGAGACAGCAATGGTTAAACCCAGACACTGAGTCAGTCTGATCGCCGCCTGCCGCAGACTCTCACCTTTTCCATGAACTCTCGGTCCGCCCTCTCCTCCACCTGAAAGGACACAGAACCCCAAATCAACCAATCAAATTAACTAAACACTGCTCAGCAACACCGCAGATGGTCAGCAGGGGGAGCAAGAGGAGCACTCTCACCACAGGGCTTGCACGGGCTGAACTGGCCCTGGAGGAGGCCCGAGAGCTGGAGCCCAGGAGGCCGCCATAGTCTGATGGCTTAGGGGGCGGAGAGAAGGTGCAGGAAACATAGGGAACAAGGAAAGGTGGCAAGGAGAGAAGGAAACATAGGAAACAAGAAAAGGTGGCAAGGAGAAAAGGAAACTCGGAGAACCAGGAAAGGAGGAAAGGAAAGAAGGAAAAATAGGAAACAAGGAAAAGTGGGAAAGAGGGACGGAAACAAGGAGAACAAGAAATGCAGGCAAGGAGGGATGGAAAAACGGAGAACCAGGAAAGGGGGAAAGGAGAGAAGGAAACAGAAAATAAGTAACGGTGGCAAGGAGAAAAGGAAACACGGAGAACATGGAAAGGAGGAAAGGAGAGAAGGAAACATAGCAATCAAGGAAAGGTGGGAAGGAGGGACAGAAAGAAACAAAAAGACCTTTTAGAGAAGCCAACTGATAACGATAATCAGAGCAGTTACAAACTGGTTCAGGCTAGTTTAGACCAGTTTAGTCAGCCTAAAGTAGGCTGCGACTGGTTAAGACTAGATTCCTTGTTCAGGTTTAGGGAGATAGTTTAGTCAGACCAGATTGTTCTTAATGAACAATTTTGTGTTAGTTTAGACCAGTTCGGCCTGGTTCCTGCTAGTTGCGAAATGTCAGACTGGTTCACACCAGTTCAGACTAATTTGAGCTAGTTCACTCTAGGTCACACTAGTTTGTGCAAGTTCATACAGGTCAGACTGGTTCTGTCTGCTTTGTGCTAGTTCAGACTAGTACAGTGCAGTTTGTGCCAGGTCAGACTTTTTTGTCTAGGTCTTGAAACTGTTTGAAATAGTTTTGATACTGGTTCAAACTAGTGTGTGCTAGTTCTAACTGGTTCAAACTAGTGTGTGCTAGTTCAGACTGGTCTGTGCTAGTTTTGACTGGTTTGTGCTAGTTGAGACTGGTTTGTGCTAGTTCAGTCTGGTTTGTGTTAGTTCAGACTGGTTTATGCTAGTTCAGGCTGGTTCAAACTAGAGTGTGTAAGTTCAGCCTGGTTTGATTTCAGCCTGGTCTGTGCTAGTTTTGACTGGTTTGTGCTAGTCCAGACTGGTTTGTGCTAGTTCATACTGGTCTGTGCTAGTTCAGACTGGTTCAAACTAGTATTTGCTAGTTAAGACTAGTTTGTGCTACTTCAGACTGGTTGGTGCTAGTTCAGACTGGTTTGTGCTAGTTCAGACTGGTTTGTGCTAGTGCAGCCTGGTTGAAACTAGTTGGTGTTAGTTCAGA